TTCCACAGGACAAGCACAGGTCCTTTTGGAAAAGGCATTTTCATTATACTTGACATGTACCCAGGAGATGGCTCATCTCTTCGCCAGCCTGTGAGCTAAGAGCCACTTCACTTGGCCAGTGTTCACCTGGATCAGTGGAAAGAGCGCATAGTGACCGAAGCTACCATGCCTGACCACAGTTCTCAGGCTGTAGAGGCGGGGGCGGGGGGGTGGGGCAGGGACCCAGGTTAGATTCCTCAGGACACAGACTCCTGGTTTTTCTGGACCACGTGCCCACTGAAAGCCTTTCAGAGGAGCCTAAGTGAGATGGCAGGACCTATGGGCCCGTAGGGCTCCGTGTGTGACCTGACTTCCCGGGAGGGGCCCACCGCCCTTCCAGCCTCCCCACTTAGGTCGTGTGCAGAGGACGAAGCCCAAGCGGACAGTGCCAGACCACCTGCTTCCTCCTTGCCTCCCATCACGCAGGACAACAAAATCTAGTTCTGCCCTAGCCTTGACGAAATAGTGTTACATCAGGAGAGAACTGACTTCTTTCTGGAGAATTTACCTCTCTGCTGCTGCTTACGTGTAAGAGATGTGTCTTCTCAAGTAACCTAGATAGATAAAGGGACTCTTTTTTAGGTTGGCTGAACTATGAAGGTCATCAACAAAGTCAGGAACTTCAAAACTTCTCTTCCTACAGTTATGAAACAGGCAGGCTGGGAGAAATCACAGAAAAATCACATTCCAGTTTTGCCAGTGACGAAACAAAGGCCCAGAGGCCAAGATAACTTATCAAAGGTTGCAGAGGAGTCAGAAACCAAAACAGGCCCCAAACCTTGATAAGACCAGTAATACCAGCATGACCTTTCTGCAGCGAAGATTCCAGGCTTGTCCTTCCCTGAGCTCTGGGCCTCTCCCTCTCTCCTAGTACCCGGGCCCAGAGAAACAACATCCATGTAAATTGCCATTTGAGCAAAATTGGCTGGGAAAATGAAGCCCATGAATTCCACATACAAAACACTCCAGGTCACTTGCAGCCCTTTTCTGTCTCTGGTCCACAGCATCCCTGTATCTGAGCTCTATCTGACTGGTAGCAAGAAGCTGAGTAGAACCCACCACAACCGTGATGACAGAAGGGGCATCTGATAGGTTGGCTGGTCCCAGGAGGAAGCAGAGTGGAAAGGGTGCCAACCAAGTGACTTTGGGTGAATCATTTCAAATCTCCAAACCCGGTTTCTATATCAGTAAAACAGGGGTTCTCCTCCCTCCCACCCCGCAGCGCTTGGTTTTGTTGCTAGAGATAGAGCAGGTGTTCATCAGGGGCGGTGGATCAATACTGTACTGTGGTGTTGATGTTAAATACCTTGGACGGTTTGGGCACTTGAGGACACTGTGAATGTTGAGGGCTTGTGGGGTGTGGCCACCACGTGAGAGGAAACTGGTGAAATCAACAGGTGTCCCTGTGGCTCGGGCCCCACGGGGCTGTGGGAAGGGTTTGGGGCAGCCAATCCCTTCTGGTCCCAGCAAAGCTGGGTGCTCCGCAAATATTTACTGAGCGTGTGTTATGTGCCAGGCATGGGGATATAGAAGTGTACTTTAGAGACAAAATTCCTATCCCTGTGGAGCTTGCATTCCCGGAGTTGGAGGAAGAGATCAGTGGCAGAGAGACAGATATAGTTGAGTGAGTAAAATACGTGGCATATTAGAGAGGACAAGGGCTATGGAAGGGAGAAGAATCTGGGTTGGGGACGAAGGCATGATGGAGAGCGGGGCTGTAATTTTAAATAGGGCAGGCGGGGAAGGTCTAGGGAAGAATCTAGAATAAGGGGAGCCAGAGAACAAAGTCCATGTCTCCAGCTCTATGGGTTTTTGTCCCCAAGGCACGCTGATCCCTCCCAGCCACAGAGATGGATGTGTGTGGCACTCTGGCAGGGTGGCTGGGACATTAAGACCATCCCTGTCACCCCCTGCTCCACCAGGGGCTCTGAACCAGCTTGCTAAGGAACCTGACTCCTGGAGGGTTTTGTGGGGGGGCAAAAAGGACAGAAGCCACAAGGCCAGTTGGGAGAGGAGTACTGCATTGCGGGAGGGCACATGTGGCACGAATGAGAGGGCCGGAAATGCACTAGGCGGGGTGGAGCTGGGTGCAGAGGGGCCGCTCTCATGCCTGCGCTTACTATACTAGCTGAGTGATCTGGGCAAGCAATTTCACCTGTACAATGTGGGTAATAATACCACCTACGTCTAGGGTCAATGTGAAAGTGTAAGAAGAACCTCTTAGAAACAGTCTTAGCACCTAGACATTTCTCACTGAGAGTGATCATCATGGCGTGTTCTCCACGGCAGTATTTTTCAGATTTCAGGAGGCAACCCGTCCATTGGTGGGTCATGAAACAAATTTAACAGCTTGCAAGCAACTTTTTTTTTTTAATGGAACAGAATAGGATAACATATTTGCGTGCATATATGTTTATGTAGATACATATATGCACATACACAAAGAGATTTCCTACCAGGGGACATCACTGGAAGTTAGAAAGCTACTGCTCCAAGGCAGTGTTTCTCTAAAGATGGTCACAAGGAGTGTTTTTCTAACTTTAGCAATTTGCATGAGTCTGTTACCATTTTTACCATATTAGAATACCATTCATATTACTAAATACTTGCCTTTGAGTTGGCTCACTTTAACTATTTTAGCCACATTGTAACAATAATATTCATGAAATTTACATTTAAAAGTGTATATAGCCTGGCTGGTGTGGCCCCGTGGATTGAGTGCCAGCCTACAAACCAAAAAGGTCATCAGTTCAATTCCCAGTCAGGGCGCACACCTGGGTTGTGGGCCAGGCCCCCAGTTGTGGGTGTGTGAGAGGCAACTGATCAATATTTCACACATGGATGTTTCACTCCATCTCTGTCTCCCCCACTTCCCGTCTCTCTAGAAATAGATAAAACCTTTAAATACACACACATTTACAGTTTTACACTGCACATTAGGAGATGCTGGCGGTAAGAAGCGTGACTGTGAAAGCACTTTCTCAAAGTAAAGCTGGGCCGGGCAGCGCTGTGAGATGTGGACGAGTCCCCAGCGCTCAGGCCCCCTTCCTGCCCCCGGAGACAGGTCCGGGCCCACTGCCCGGCTTTCTGAGGCCTTGTAACTGACCTTTCCACAGTGGTCACCTCAAGAAGCAAGGGGCAGGCTCGGGAGCTTTCTGGGGGTGTAGCCCCCAGAGGAGGAGGCCAGGGCCCTCATATCCATCTTTCTCTTGTGAGCTGTGTCCTGCCACTGCACCAAGTTTGTAGAATTTCCTTTCTTGTCCAGTTTTGATTCCATTGATGGGATTAGGTGCCCCCCACAGCCATGTCCTTTGATGTGGTCAGGGGGTAGGTAGCGGGGAGATTTCGAGCTCAGGGAGCAAATCTTAATCTTCTGCAGGCTTCTCCAGGATCAAGCGCGGGGGTAAACCCATTACATCCCTGCCCTTTCATCCCCCCAGGACACCCGCTCCTCCAGGCTCCTAGAGTCTTAGAGATGCAAAGGGTTTGTCAGATTTGGAGAGAGCAATAAAAGGGGAAGAGAAAGCAGGGCTCAGGTCCCAGACCCCCTCCAGCACCGGCAGCATCACCAGCAATGTCAGGGCATCTTCTTCTTTCTTCCTTTCTAATCCTGGGGTCCCACAAAATGGGAATTACAGGGGCTTGGGGCCCACGGCCCGCCCTGTCCCAGCACTGAGCGCCTCTGCCCTCCATCCCTTCTGGAACCACTCTGTCCTGGGAGCACCTGATCCTGCCCATCTGTCTGCTGTCCTGCCCTGAGACCTGTGTGTTTGGGGGGTAGGGGGGCCGGGGGTGCGGAGCTGGCAGATTAGACAGAGAAACCACTCAGCCCCCACAGCAGTTAGGTTATAAGGCAGGATTTGGATTGGTGAGGCCAGAAACATAGCCAATATCTATGTCAGGCCACAGGCAGGTATGTCTCATCATTTTCTTTAAATTAAATCTAATTCAAGAGCTCTATCTGAAGGCGGGGGGCAGAGCTCAATCTCAGTCTTTATTCAGGCTTCCCCTCCCTTCGCTCGGTCTTTCATGGTCCCTGGAGTCCTGGCCATCTTAAGGATGGCAGAGGCCTACGGATGCTCCAGACTGGTCTCAGATGAGGCAGGCAGTTACTCAGGGACTACGACCTGGTCTCCAGAGAGTGGGACAGCAGGTCCTGAGGAAAGGGGATTCCATTCACCTCCGACCCCTCTCTAATCTTGGGAAAGCTCCTCCACCCTCGCAGGTTTTCTGTACCACCCTTCTTCCCCAGAGTCCCGCTGAAGCAGCTCCGGTTTTCTTTTAGAAAACACAGCCAGGAAGAGAAGTTTTCTGCAGGCAACTGGAACAGGACGGAAAATACAAAATTAACATCTTAAGAAAGCATGCTACTGGGTACTATGCTTTGCATTTTACAGTTATCTCGTTGGTTTGCCACCAAAGCCCTGCTGAAGGGCTTGGCCAGCTCTGGGCTCCGTACGGGGAGGTTGAGGCTGGCTAGCTGCAGGAGCCTGGCTGGTGTGGCCCCGTGGCGCGCTCCTGCTGCGGGGCAAGGCTCAGGAGCGGAGTGGCCGGCAGGGGGCTCTCAGCTCTGGCCTTCGCGGGAGGAAGCGCTGGCAGTGGCTGGGCCCGGTCAGAGGAGGAAAGGGGAAAATTACTGGATATCGGGGGCGGGAAGGGCTGCAGGACTGGGAGGAAGGCACTGGAGACTGTTGAGTAGGACCGCCGGCGTCCGGACTCGATCCCGGGGGCGGTTAGAGCAGCCGGGGAGAAGGCGCCAAGGCCACCCCCACCCACCGCCCGGGTGTCCTCCGCTGTGCCGCAGGCTGGAGCGGGCGCGGGCGCGGGCGCCGCAGGCTGGTGCGGGCGCCGCAGGCAGGAGCGGGTGGCGCCACCGAGGGGCGGGCGGAGGGCGGGCCGGGGCGGGGCGCAGTCTTCTTGACTCCCAGAGGCGGTGCAGGCGGGCGCTGGCCGCGTCTGTCCTCCGGGAGTCGCGGGGCGCGGAGCTTTCCTGATGTGTCACCAGCACGTGGAGCCAGCTCCGGCAGATCGAGCGAACGGGCAGAACTCACCCAACTTTCGAGGGGTCTCGGCACCTCGCTCCTCTCCCTGCTGTGCCGAGCTGGTGCTTCTTAGGACAGGGGCGGCGACGGCCCCTAGGTCCCAGGCAGGTTGAGCGGGGAGCTCGCCCAGCGCGCGCGCGGGGCGCCCAGGACGTCGGGGCGCAGGGCCCGGCTCGCAGCGACTTCTCTGACTCCCTGGAGGCGGAGCGGCCCAGCTTTGCCCTGGCCCTGCGCCCCGAGGATATGAGCGCAGGTAACTGAGTCGGTATGGAGCTGGGCCTCGCGGTCGCGGCTTGGGATCTTGGCGAAGTTTTTGGTGTAACTCTGGCGCTCCGCTGGGCGGGGAGTGGGGGTGGGGGCAGCCTAGGTCCGCACACCTCCTCTCTAACACGGTCCCCTTGGCCTGTGCCAGGGCAGCTGGGGGTGGCCTGGAAGCCGCCGCATGCCAAGCGTCGTGTAACCCTTCCCGGGCTGGTTTCGGAGGCCGGCGGGCCGACATTGGGTGGGGCGGGTGCCTTCTTTGGGGTACTCTGCTCAGAGGAAACCAGGAACCTCAGCCGAGCAGCGCACGGTGGAAAACGGGAGGCCGGCTCCAACCCGAGGGAGACCGTCCGGGGCGCGTCCGAACTCCGAACTCAGAGACAGGCGGGAGCTGAGGGCTGGGTCTTTGTGGGCGAGATGAGAGTGTCAGATCAACTGGCCTACAAAGTCCCAGTCCTCGGCTCCCGGGACCAGCGGCTCCTGCGAGCTCCTGGCCCGCGCGAGCTCGGCGCCCAGGCAGGGACAGGGACCCTGGCCGGGCCGCCACCTCCCGGGTCCACGTTCTAGGAGAGGAGGTGGCAAGGCGCGCTCGCTGCGGGCTCGGTGCAGAGAGATTCTAGGGATCCCTGTGCTTCCCAGGAGCAAAGGGAATGCACTCGGAAATTTGTGTCGGTGACTATGTGCGGCGGTGTCCTCCGGGCGGAGGGAGATCCCCGCTGGGGCAGAGCAGGAGCAAGGGAAGAGAGATGGCTCTTTTCTCCCCAACGGGCCAAGCCCATTCGCCTCCTAGGGCCCACCCTGCTGCGCATTCCAGGGCGGCAACCTTGAGCTTGGGGGTGAGGAGGGCCTCCCAATTTCTAGAGTTGCTCGTACAGAGATGGGATGGGATGCGGAGGTTTAGCCCCTGTAGACCGGGAAGCCCTTGTCCTTCCCTGCCACCACCCCGCCCCACCCCCAGGATTTTTTTTATTTTTTTTTTAAAGATGCATCTTTATGGGAATGTTCCCAATGGCTGGTCTTTTATTCCCTGGCATACACCACATAATGCTGACCCGCCCTAAGTCCCCGTCAAGGTTTATGCTCAGATTCCTTTCTTAAATCCTCTCTCAATAACTTTGCTTTTGTACCTCCTCCTCCTCCAAAGGAAAACCCCACCAACCCCTGAAACCTCGGGTTTGCTTGGTGTTTGGACTTTTCTTTATTTTGCATTGTGTTTTGGCTGTCTTGGCAGTGGGGGCCTTGGGAAAACATTTGGGAACATGCAGTGAGGTGACCTGAACTGAATGAGGGCAAGTTGACAAAACAAGGCACCTCGGTTTCCCTTCTTCCTGGCTTTGGAAAACAGGAGGAGGGAGAGGGAAAAACTAGCCGACCCGGGTTGGTCCAACTCTCCCGAAGTTGTGCAAAGACCCATTCTGGAAGGTTTTTCCACAGGCTTCCCTGACTTCTGTGGGCTAGTGTATACAGCTTGCAGGAACCCTTTGATGCCTCTGTCCCCATTTTGGTGGCCATGCGGGGGCTTGGACTGCGGGGTGCAGAGGGGAGCTCCGTGGGCTACGGGGTCGCTGAAGCAGGGTTGGGCCTGTGAGTCCAGGAAGAGGGCACACGCCTGTCACTGCAGTTGGCCCACGTTTTTTCAGTGGGAGCTTCGTTCTCCAGTGAGGAGAACGTGCAGACGCCAGGATTATGGGAGAAAAGAATTTCTTTGGCCATGTACCTGAATGTACATGTATCTTGACCAATTCTCAGTTTTGAGGCAAAATTGTCCAAGAGTAGACTCGGGGGAGCTTCGAAGTGGAGTCCTTGCCCTAATTAAGAAAAATGCTCTCCTCGGAGTACTGCATCAGTTTGGGAAAATGAAGTTCTCTCTTTGAACCCATGCCTCTCCCAGCCCCCGGGATCAATTTCTTAAAGTAAATGAAGTGGAAATCTCCAGAATATCCCGTGGTCATAAAACACACGCAGACTTGGGCTGGAGCAGTGAGATGCAGAAAAGCAGACAGAGGTGGCTGCTTTGCACCCACCTTAGAGGGGACAGGTCTGGGGGACAAGGGACATAAATCTCTGGAAATAAGGCTTAAGGAGCCTGGCAGAGCCCCTGGCCCATCTAGGCAGCAGGCAACTTCCCCGAAGGCTGTGCCGCATCCTCTGGGGCTGACCAGGGCTTTAGGGATTTTTAGGAAATGCCTTGGTGCTTCATTTCTTTGGGGTGAGTGTGAGTGAGTGTTTTTTTCCTTCTTGGGATTTTTCCTTTGCAAAATGTGATTGAATCAGCTCCACAGCAGGCTGGCTTGGCCTCTAGTCACTGATTTGTTCTTTGACTTAAGCCGTCGTATTTAGGAATTGTGTTTTAGTTGAGAGCTTTTTGATTTTGCTGTCCCTTTTGAATTCTCATAGTTTCCTGGAGCAGATCCCTCCTTCCTTCCCCCACCCCACCCCCACCCCATCCATTCCTCTAAGCTGGGCACCTCTAGGTCCTGTGAAGTCAGACTTGTTTGCCCTGGAGCTGGCTTCAGAAAGCAGCTACATGCAAGGTGAAGCTGGCGGGAGGGAGGGATTTTAGCCCGACCCTTGGGGAGAGACCCGCGGAAGACTCCAGAATCCAGCTGGACCTCCAGTCCTGCCTGCTTGCATTCCCTCAACTCTTAGGTAAATTGCAAACTGGTGAATAATTAACCTCACTCTTGTAGCTGTTTTTTTGTTTTTTTAATTTTAAAGAAAAATAAAATCCCAAGCTATGAAAAATTAGAGGTCAGTTTTTGCCTAGGAGGACCGGATTGACAAAGGAGGTGTCGGGAGAGGCCGACCCTCTCGTCTCCACCCCTAAGTCTTAGTAACTCCAGAAATTCTGATACTTAAAAGTCCCTCCAGTTTTGCTGGTGGCCCTTGGGGGTGGTGGGGGGTAAGGGATGCTCTGAGCTGAGCCCCCAGATCTCCCTCGATGCCTCTTTGCCGAAAGCCAAGCCATCTGAACCCTCTGCAGGGTCAGGGTTCGATTCTGTCCCTCTATTGGTGTAGCCACATCCTGGCCATCATTTCTGTGCCGAGTTCATGCTGCTGCCAGGCCAGTTTGCTGCTCTCTGTGCGGGATGGTAAATATTTGGCCTGTCTCAGTTCTTTCACACAAAAGAACAGTGCTCCTAATCGGTGACATGTCTTTAAAAGCGTTGTCAGAAGTAAGGGCTCAGTTTGGGTTCCATGAAGGGTTTTTCTCAAAGCAGCCCAGGGTGAGGGCCATGAAGGCAGAGATGTGCTGGAGTTGGAGTCCTAACTGCCACTTGCCAGCTGGGTGGCCTTTGACAAGTAACTCCTCTGTGCCTATTTCTTCCCTGGTGAACGAGGGTTATGATCCCTACCTGGTAAGCTTGTGGTGAGGCTTATATGAAAAATGTAGGCACAGCGCCTGGCACCCAACAGTGGACCTTTGACTGGTAATCCTCCTCTCCTCAGCTGTCTTATTTAGAGTCTGTCTGTGTATACGTGCTGGCTGAGAGGGGTGCAGAGTGATTGAGACCTCCGGCTTGTGAGTCTCCATTGCTTCCTAGCGTGTGGCCAGGGACAAGGTACCTGACCCACTGGCAACAGCAGCTTTGTAATCGTAAGTCTGGGATGATGCCTGGGAACCCCTTCCCCTGCCTGAGTCTCAGTCCTCTCAGTTTTCATTGTCCACCAACCACGCGCCAGGGACCGGGCCAGACTGGGGTTCCAACTTTGGATTGGCAGAGTAGGCAGGCATGGCCTCTCGCCACCCCCTCTCCTTTGTACCCCAGCTCTGAGAGCAGATGAGGGCTACTGTGAAGCCTCCTGGGGGAGCTGAGGCTGAGACTCAGCGGGGAAAAGCTCTCCCCGGACCTCACAGCTGCCTTTGGTGCCGCAGGAGCCTGACTCCCAGCCTTCTGGGTGCAGCAGGGCGCCCCAGGCCGGGAGCCAGCAAGCTTGAGCTGTGGAGCAGGAGGTGAGTGGGCCTGGGTTAGGCCCGAGCGTGTGGATATGGCCGCCTTGCACACCTGCTGTGCAGTACAGTACGGCCAGCCTGGCGGGCCTGAAGGCTGGTTCTGACACTGAGCATGTTTCAGGAAAGGTCTCCAGGAGAGGTGAATTGCCACAGCTGCTCTTGGCTTGCTTGCTCAGTGACCCAGTGGGCAAGCTAAACACACTCCGGTGGGACCCGTCAAGCAGGGTACAGAATCGAAGGAAATGATTTGATATTCCAAAACATACTGAAGAGTGATCGTCATGGAAAAAAAAAATCAGGATTTTGTTGGACTTCCTTATACTTTTTTATGGCTCAACGATGTTTTTTATTTTGGATTTCGAACTGGAGGTGGAGATACACCATAATCTTTTCAGTGCTTTAGAGCCAGTTAGTACTTCTGACTGGCCCCGGGCAATGGGCAAGACCAGAGACAGACGCAGAGCAGGTGACTTCTCACCCACTGCGCTGCTCCCTTCCTCCTCCCTTTGGCACAGTCTGGGGAATTTTGAAATCGCCCTGTAGCCAGACCCTTGTGTTTGCTGCCCAGGAGAACTGGGGAGGGAGGTGCTGTGCGGAAAGAACCATTGCCCGATTTCAATCTCAGCTCTGCCACTTTGGGCCTGAGAGCACCCTTCTCTGTTCCCTGGGGGTTTGGCCTAAATACAGTGTGCACTCCTATGGAAGCTTCTAAAATTGTGAGTCAGGAGGCGGCAGAGAAGGGCATGAGATTGGAACCTGGGGCTGTGGTTGGGAGGGCTGGGAGGGCTGGGGGAAGGACTCAGAGATGTGCAGCTGGGAAATTTGGATCAGCCTGTGAAGACTTTGTGGTTCATTCTCATGAAGCTCACTTCCTCCCACTGGATTTCTGCCCTAGGGTGTGTGGGGTTCAAGGGAAAACACTGGCTTCTCCTTCTTGGGGACAGGCGTAAATTCTGGTCTTTCCAAGCAAACGTTTACAAAATAATCCTCTCTATTTCCATGTCTGCTGTGAGGGAGACCCCCTCCCTGACCCTTCT